GAGAAAATCTGGTCCATCTGTGTCAGTTTTATGAAACATCCTGTACATAAATTGCAAGAAACATTTGACACCGTGTGTAGAAATATCTATTTGAAAATTTAGGTAGGTAGTGAAATGAGAAAAAAATCCTAGTCCGCCTGTGTCATTTTTATGAAACACTCAGTATATAAATTTGCAAAATGACTCTGAGTTCTACAGAATAAGATTTTTCATAAAAATATTGCCACAATAAATTTCTGAAATATACAGAAACCTCTAGACCGATAACTTTGACTTGGGTCAGTTATGTAGAACATGCAGTATATGGATTTTCAAAAAACCCTTTGGTTAGCAACTATATAACTTTTCATGACATTCCCCCTTTAATACCTCCAATTTGTACAAAAATTCTATATAAACAAAGAGTGCTTATGCTCTTATTCGTTAATAATAATTAATTAAAATTAGTCGTACAAATATGTATTGTTAAAAGAAGAGAAATTCAATTTAATTCGCGCGATACTTGAAGTTTTAAGAACGAAGCATTAGCCCGCACCAGCTCTATCTCTCTCGCACACGTCTATGCCATTGCCATTTATACTGGCAAAATGACAGATGGGTGAATCCAGTAGTTTATAAGTTCTATCGTCCCGTCTGGTTTCCTAACCTAAATTACTTACGGAATACGTCAAATTTCAATTAGTATTTTCCTTCCGTCGATCTATGGTTCGTTGTGATTTTCTAACCACAATTGAAAACGTCAAATATAGCGAAATTTATTTTGAAGTTTCAATCTGACATTTTCGTCGATTTGCGTTCGAGGTTCTTTGAATTTCCAATTCGCTTATAAAATGGCCGTATGTCAGTGAGAAGTCCACGGAGAATGGTACATTTGAAAACGCGAATATAAAGTTGCAAAAATTTGATTAAGCGATGGACGAAGGCAGATGAGGTGCGATTATGTTACTTCGGATCTCGTGGAGAAACCCAGTCCGTCCGCCAAAAACCTAATTTTCCAGTCTGACTTGAGAGACAACGCGTAGTGTCGTCGTTCATTGTTCAAGCTGCCGCATTTCGATTCTGCGTTAATTTCGCGAAACGTTCTATATAAAAAGTTTGAAATAGGCCTCTGATCAGAAAACAAAAATTTTTTGGTTTAAATAAATATATCAAACGTCGTCTATTCTAATTTTCTAACATCAATTGAAAATGTTGAAAATTTCACCTCGATGTCATCTACGAAATACGTCAAATATTAAGTAGTAGGTCCCCACTAATTTTTTAACCTCAATTAGAAACGTCAAATATAGTCTTGTCACTCCTGTGTGATATCTTAACCTAAAATACGAAACACGTCAAATATCAATTAGTACGTTCCTTTTGATTTTCTAACCTCAATTAGAAACGTCAAAAATCGCGTAGTAGGTACCGTCTGATTTCGTAACCTAAATTACGAAATACGTCAAATATCAATCAGTCTGTTCCTACCATCGATCTATGGTTCGCTGTGATATTCTAACCTCAATTGGAAAAGTCAAATACATATAGTGAAATTTATTTTGACGTTTCAATCTGACATTAATTAAAATTAGTCACACAAATATGTATTGTTAAAAGAAGAGAAATCCAATTTAATTCGCGCGATACTTGAAGTTTTGTGAACGAAGCATTAGCTTGCACCAGCTCTATCTCTCTNTTTGAGTATTTTTGCAGTTTTTAATTTTTTCTGCAAATAGCACAACTTTTTTTTTGGCGCAACCTTATATTTTCATTGTATATATTATTTTCGACCGATTTTTACTAATATCTAAGTTACGTCAAGCAACAGCCATGTCAATGTGTAATTCTCCTGGACTAAAAGATCAGCTACAAAAAATGAAGGTGAAGTTTGCTGCTCAAGTATTATCTCACAGAGTATCCTCCACATTAAGGTGGACTGCAAAATTTGGTGAGTTTTTAAATCTGACTATTATATAAATCTATTTTCACAATAATGTGCACATATTTTGTTTTCAGGAAACAAGGGTCTAATCGATTCAACCGTTGAAGATACGGCAGACTTTGTGTCTTTTATGGACCAGCTGTTTGACAGCGTAAATGGAGCAGCATATGAACCTGAGCACGAAAAACAACTAAGATGTGCTGTAAAGGAAAATTCTCCACATATTAAATTCTGGTATGATGCTATAAATTTTTTTAAAAACATAAAATTTTGTACTAGAGGAGATGTGCCACCGACAGATAAAAACTGGTTAAAAACGTTGCATGGGTTTATATATTTGACAAAAAAGGTTCAGAATGCAGGTTTAAAATATTTCTGTACAAGGAATGTTAACCAAGATCCACTAGAAAACTTTTTCGGATGTATAAGGAGTCATGGAGCTAGAAACGTTAATCCGACATGTACATCTTTTATAAATTCATTTAAAAGTTTAATAATAAATAATTTTTCAGCAAGTCATTCATCAATGGCAAATTGTGAGGAAGATAATAATGTCGCTTTAAGTTGTTTAGAACATTTTTTTAAAAATGGATTATCTGAATCGACATGTGAAGTCGAAACATCTTCATATGAAGATGATGATTTTCAATTTAAAGAAATTTCGGATAATTATATTATAAATAGTCATTCATCCATTGCTGGGTATATTGGTAACAATTTTAAAAGATACGAACAAATGTCCAACGTGTTTTAATCAGCTGGTGGTTTCAACATCTTCAGAGGAGCACAACTTAATTTTACAACGGGAATATAGGCCAAAATTGTTACTGAAACCAAAAACTCAATTTAGACGGATGTTTTTGTCTATGGGACAAATATTTTATTATTATATAGAAAAATTAATATTAATAATAATAAAACAACATTATACACAATATGCTCCAAAAAATTTTCAAATTCATTATTTTGCGAAGTCCATAATGTTTTTCATGTTTATTTAAACATGTTTTTTGTATTTTTATTACATACCTATATAAAAACTATTAATAAGATTTTAAAAGGACAGATTACTCCCTCATCAAATGCCTCTATTTTAAAAACGCTAGCGTTAGATAAGTATAAGAAGAATAAATTAAATAAGGCAAGTGTACATAGAATTAAAAGAATTTAATAATTATTGTTTAGTTAGTATCGAATTGTAATAAATGTTGCTTTTTATATTATTTGTTTTATTTACTCTTCTAATTAATCACAATAAACGTTATTATATTGAATTAACATATTTCATATCGTATAAAAACAAAATATGATTTTTCATGTTTCTGTATCAGTTAAGGTTTTAACTTATCATTTATCCATCAAACAAATATTGTTTTGATGGATAAATGATAAGGAAAACTTAAAAAAAATAAATTTGAATAGAAGAAAGGTCGATTTATTTAATAATTTGACTTCATGTCGCCAGTGGCGCTAGTTACCAAGAACCGGCGTGAACGCGAGAGTGGCCCATCTATATCCTCTTTCTAATCTGTGATACTTACATAATCTGTATTAAAAAATTGAATTAAAATATATTATTAATTAATTCTCAATACAATAGAAACATGAAGTAACTGTAATGTATCCAAAAAGGAAAAAGGTACTTCAACAGTAGAACATGGTATTTTGTGGAAGGTACAATAATAATTGGTGAATTAATTTCAAACTATTTTTAGGAATTTGATGTCACCATATACATGGAGCAGTCTTGTATGAGTTGTATGTGTAAATCTTTAATTATTATTATTGTAATTAATTGTTAATCGTACCTACCTAATATGAATCAGTTAAAATTTAAATGAAATGAAGAACGAAGCATTTGGTATAAATGTACAATTTGTTTTGTGATAGTTAAAAAAACAGCTTCAATAAGTTGTTACTATGGAGCCATTATTTCAAGAAAGTTATGATTTAATTGAAAAAGTACAGCGCTATTTAAGTAAATGGATATACATACTTACCCAATGTACGTGGCATTGACTTTCCATTATTTTGATGTCCCCTTTACAATCTATGATTAAAAGATTTTGGTGTGACGACTATATAAAAACCATCTATAATAGTGTGTCCAGTGATAGAATGAATTTGCCTTTTGTCAACTTTATTTAGAATTGTTAATCATGGATGGTGTCGAAGAAAAGGAAATAATTAGCCACATGTAGTGTTCTTCAAAATAAGATGTTTCCATAAATAGGTAGATCCTGAAATGTTTCTTTTCTGAGATGCCAGATGTTAACATGAACTCTTGAAAAATTTCAGGCAAATACATATATCTACAGATACCCGCTGCACAAATATGAAGCTTTGACTTGAACGGTATGTAGGTATAGATATGTTGTCTCAGTTATAATTACAGAAACATGTTTATTTTAGATGCTGTTCTTTAATCAATGCTGGAAATTGGACAATGCCAGGGACAAAATTTACAATATCACTTGTTTTTTAGTAGGTACCTATTTCAGAACAAAAAGAAGTTTTACTTGAATTATTTAACTGTGTTTGTAGATAAAAATACTCTGGAATTTGAGTGTTGTGAGAAATAAGAAATCCCCTAAAGATTTTCGAGGTAATAATTGATAATAAAAACAGAAATAAAAAGGAATGTGTATTATTTATAATGGTTAATCTTAAAAGAAAATTGTGTTTATCTATCATAAACAGTGGATATTTAAAAATACATTTAATTACCGTATATTTCTTTAAAACTGAATGGTTAATATTTTTACTATATTTTATTCAAATGTCTATCAATGTTATATAAATATTTTTATCGTTTACTTATTTTAGACCTGTCAGTCAATTAAAACCTGAGTTTTTTTTTTGAATGACAAGATGACATATATTTATTGATACAAAAATCGATATTTTACAAAAGAACGCTATCTAGGTAGGTAGGTATCTCCAAGAGACAAGAAAACGCGTAATCCAAAAATTCCGGGTTTTGAGATTCAAAATAAAAACGTAAAAGAAAAATAACGAAATTTCCCATTCAAGCCATAAAAATTTATTGCGCCATAAACGTTTTGAGACAGGCGTACGGAAAATCCCAACAGGCAGACAGGCAATCTATTGACTGGCTCTATCTACCTGTCTCCGTTTCGTTAAAAGTCATAATAGTCCAGTCGGCGGAGCCAAAAAACGAGCCGAAATGGCTGTTGCTTGATGTAAACCTGTTTTTTTTTTAATCGAACCGGAAAAATTTGTACATTCGGAATATCGACCTGCGGAAAGCTGAAAACCATGGGAAGTTTGTTTAAATTAATGAAAAGTGCGAAATAATTCAAAAATTGGCCCGTTTTTTCGGATATTATCGCTTATTATTCGTAAAGGAAGCCTCGGACGAAAAAAAGTAACTTCTGATTTTTTTGTTCATTATTGAATGTTGTACAAGATAGGCATATTGGCGAACCAAAATTTTTAAAATTTGCATTGCAAAATAGCAATAAACTAATGAAAAATGTGGCACTTTTTCAGAGGAGCTTGACACTAATGAATCCTTCTACTTGCATTAATATCGACTAACTGCCTGTTGTCGTTTGGAGCAATTGGAGATCTTTAAAAAATGTTGTGCTTTGGGGGTGGCGATCGCCACATCGCCACCCCCTCTGGATCAGGGCCTGCATAGAAGAGTATGAAACTAATAATATCAATTTATCAAATATAATCTTTATTGGAAAAATTACAGCACCGAGACAGGACATGTTCAGTTACTAAAGAAAATGCAAACAAAATCTTTGAAAACTTTATCTTAATTTAACACACTCATTTTCAAATAACATTCCCACGTTGCACTCCCCACTTTTTACTTCTTTATCACTAAATACAGGGAGTCCAAGTACTTGGCAAAAACAGCAACATTTAGGGAAGCACTGACTGGGTTCTTGTATACCTACTGGAATGGGGTTGAAATTTAACATCTTCAGCTAAACTGCCATCGTTACGTATACTGTAGTCATTAGTGAAAAACTGTTTATCTTGTTAGGTTACAATGTATTTAATGTAACTTATACAGGTGAAAAAGCATATTTATGTAGAGAGCGTGACATGTAACATAATCCCTTCGAAAAGCCCATAAGAGGTTATAAGTTTATGACTGTTTGGTCCAGAATTTTATAACTTCTTTTACAATGCAACTGGGAAGCTTACTTGTTCTTTAATAACTCTGGGGCTAGGGTATGTAGTCCTGGAGTTTTAAATGCCAGTGCCAGTGTTAAATAAAAGACTAAAACTCAAGTGTATTTGGCCGTGTTATGTAAAATATTAGAACATAGTACTTAACAACCGGGGGCCACGTAAACATATATTCGAAGAAGAGCCTCTGGAAGGCACCTCACACCAAATATTTGTTTTAAGAACAGTCAAACTTTTGTTATACTGTTTTGTGTATAGATATATGTCGAGGAATATGATCGATGGGATCGGTAACAACGGCATGGGCCCTCGGTGGAGACCTCGGAAGTTCGAATCGAGCTCCACGTTGGGCGCNACACTGACAGCGGGTAAAGGCAGTTCTGCAAGCTATAAAATAATAATTTTCGAACTTTGCTAAGTAACGGAAAAAAATATATCAAGAAGTTAAATAAATTCCTGGTAAATATCCAATGTTTAAAGGAAGACTTGACGTCTGCATTGAAATTGTGAGGAAGTTACGTAATATCCACATCAACGATCAAAAAGAGAGCAGTTCAACAATCATATCAACACTTGGTTCATATTCCACTAGGCTTACACCCATAGGACAGTTATAGGTGTTGATGCAGTAGATCGAGTCTGATTTCAAGAAAGGATAATAAAATTCTTATATTATCGAGTCTGTACTTGTAAACAAAATAAATCAAATTTAACCTTTGTAATATGTATGATATAAATATTTAATAAAATAATTAAAATTATTATCTTTTTATTTTCCCATTATTCACCACTTAAAATTACAAAATAAATAAAAAATCTGATATATTTTAAACTCTTTTATTAAATCAATAAATACAGTGATATATACATACTTAATAATAAAAAATTATAGATAATACAATT